AAACGAGTTTGGGGGAAAAAAAGCGAAACATGGGACTCGGTGAGCAGCCAGGTCAAACACGACGCAGGCATGCATTCCGTCTTTAAGTTAGCGGAGGACTATTCATGTTACGGTCATTCCAGCTATCTCTAGCAATTGAGATCCCGATCGATCGAGGGCACGAGACTCGTCTCTCAAGAGTTTCTCCCGGCAAGACTTACAGTGTGAAATCGAGTTGAACCCCATCGCATTCGAATCAGAAGCCTTATAATGGGGATAGTTTTCAGTGCATGCTCACGCGCCATACGGTTCCCTTATTACCTCTTTTGCGGCTCACCGCTGTCAAGAGATGGTCTTCCTTCTGCGGACACGGAGTGGAGAGCAGAAGTGCAAGATCCGCTTTTGACGGCGGCCGAGGAGGAGAGTACACGTAGAGAACAAGCGAGTCACTGGGGCACATCACCATCGTCTCCGTCTTTGCACGAAATCCGACTCGTTATCAAGGACGCGCGAGAATGGACTTCTCTGGCTAGCGGAGCCGCAGGCAGTAGAGAACAAGAGAGTCACTGTGGCATCACCTCCACCGTTAGGGAAACTACTGCTCGCCGTTTGGCCCCGTCAGTGCAGGATCGAGGTACGTTGCCAGAAAGGCCCAGCACATTGAGGAGGACTTCCCAAGTGTGGTGGACCGGTTGCTCGCCCTTCGCCCATCCGTTGATTGACCTGGACGCAGCAAATCAGCGGCCGTACACTAAACCCGGCCTTGGGCTCGCGCAGGTCGGCGAGGTCAACAGCCCGCACAACTGTGCGACCGGTCCTTTATCACGGTCGGCGAAGGTCGATGTCGTTGTCCCCGTGAAGCGACCGCATTCATTAGCCACCGACTCCCCTCGGGTTGACATCTTCGTTGAGACCAACTGGAACGACCTCGGGCGCCGCCCGTCTTCTCCTTACAGTGTTGTTGAGGTTAGACGCTCGAGCATCACGCGAGGAGAAGAAGAAGAAGAAGAAGAAGAAGAAGAAGGGAAGTGCGCGGGTAGAGTCGAATCCCAGGTGAGGACCTCCGCTCCCGCTTCGTCTGCCGAATACGATTCCTCCGCGGAGGAGGGAGAGGTTGAGCTTTGTCCCGCGGACATCCGTTATACGCAGGATACCATCGGCGGCNCCGCTTCGTCTGCCGAATACGATTCCTCCGCGGAGGAGGGAGAGGTTGAGCTTTGTCCCGCGGACATCCGTTATACGCAGGATACCATCGGCGGSACCTTCAAGGATGGTCGGAGCATACTTGAGTCGTACGTCGATGTGAAGGAGGGGCGCGTTCACCCCGAGGATTTCCCGCCATTGAGAGTCGTGAAGAAAGATGGCTGCTACTGGAGCTTTGATAACCGGCGCCTTTGGGTGTTTCAGACGGCGG